GGCCCTCTTCTATTAGACCCTTTGATGTTACCAAGTACGTCTCTTTAGTACCTGAGTTTCGAGAGACAGAGATTGATTCTTACTTCTCTGCTTTTGAGCGAATAGCACAGGCTTTACAGTGGCCACCTGACGTTTGGTCTTTACTTTTACAGTGCAAAATCTATGGTAAAGCTCAAGAGGTTGTAGCCGCCCTTCCTCTTTCAGACACCCAAAAGTATGATGTGGTTAAAGCTGCCATTTTGAAAGCTTATGAGCTTGTTCCTGAGGCTTACCGGCAAAAATTTAGGTCTTTTAAGAAAAGCCCCTCTCAGACCCTTTTCTCTGGGAAGTCAAAGAGACTTCCCAGAGAAAAGGGAAGTCTCTTTGACCGTTGGTGTGCTTCAAGTAAGGTGACAAATTTTGATACTCTGAGAGAACTTGTTCTATTGGAAGAGTTCAAAAATTGTCTACCTGAACGTGTTGTTGTTCACTTGAATGAGCAAAAGGTAAACTCACTGTCTTCTGCTGCTGTGTTAGCTGATGAGTATGTGCTTACACATAAGTCTACCTTTCAGTCCGTGCTCAATAAAAGTATGTCTATAAAGTCAGCTGTTGAGCAACCAAAATCAACTCCTCAAAAGAATGACAAGGAGTGTTTCTACTGTCACAAAGCGGGTCATCTCATTGCTAATTGTTTAGCCTTGAAACGAAAAGAACAGAACACTTCACAGACCAAACCAAAGAGTGTGGGTTTAATTGAGAGAAAAGCTCATATTCTAGGAAAAACTGAATGTGGCTGCACTCCAGATCCATGTTTTGAACCTTTTTTGCTGACTGGATATGTTTCATTACCAGGAAAACTTGCAGATCCACATCCAGTTCGTATATTGCGAGACACTGGTGCCTCCCAATCTGTTATCTTAGCAGACTCCCTCCCCTTTTCTGAGATGTCGTCTTGTGGCTACAGTGTTGTACTGCAAGGACTTGAAATGGGTTATGGCCCCCGACCTGTACATCTGGTACATTTACAATCAAAACTGATTTCTGGTACTTTTCCTGTTGCTGTTTGTTCTGTGCTACCAGTTAAAGGCATTTCCCTTTTACTTGGTAATGATATTGCAGGTGGTAAAGTAACACCATCCCCGGAAGTATTAGATGTCCTCTGCTCCCTTCCTAAGGAGGAAGACGCAACACCGACTGCTGTCTCTACTTCCTGTGTGCTCACCAGGGCTCAAAAATTGAAGGAAACCCCAGAGGGAAATGTTGACGTGTCTGACAGTGTACTTATGTCAATCCTTTTAGATGAGAAAAAAACACAGCTTAAAACGCAGGTGCCTGCAGTCCACCAAGGGAAACCTGATGTGCTACAAGATGCTGTTGGTCATTCTTCTTCAATAACACGATCTCAGCCTTGTGCGGCCCAGAAGGTGGTTTCAGCACCAAAAAGGTGTTTCTCGAGTGTGGTAAGTGCTAACAAAGCCAGAGTTGAACCAGTGTCATTCTATGGTCGGTACTGCCACAGCTACCCCACCTCTCAGATTACTGGTAACACTGACAAGGTTACTCCTGTTCATCATTCCATTTTGTACCCAACTCCACTGCAACCAGACCCAGAAATGGTTAAGATGTGTTGGTGGAAAGTCAAAATAAAAGCCTTTCGCCATTTTTTTTGGGATGACTAGTGTTTACAAGAATGTCTGTAGAATCTTAACTGTAGTCCTCCTTCTTACTATGCTGAACCTAAATGTAAACCTCAATTGGACTTCTGAGTATCAGCATTCGTTACGAAATGTTAAATCTCTTTTGTCTCATCCACCTGTCCTCTCTTCTCCAAACATGTCTAGGGCATTTAAAGTTGAGGTGGATGATAGTGCTGTGAGAGCGGGAGCTGTATTTTTACAGGAAGGTGATAACGGAGCTGATCATCCCGTCTGTTACTTTTCTTGTAAGTTTATAAGAAGTCAGTTCAAGTACCCCATCATTGAGAGAGAAACTCTGGCTTTGCTTTTAGTGCTTCAGCACCTTGAGGTCTACCTAAGATTTAGTCCTGTGTTACCATCAAATAAAATGGAACAGACAACTTCTTAGCAGATGCTTTATCTAGAGTGTAGCTTATATAGTTACCTTCGGTTGGGAATGTTCCTTCCAAACCCTTTTGTTTAGGATTTTAAGGGGGGAGGTGTTACGGCCAGTGGCCTTTTTCTGTGTTTGTTTTGTTTTCAGTGGCTAATTAGATTGACTCCACCTGGAAGTGGGTGCTGCCCTGCTCGTCCTGTCCTACATCCTGAGGCCTACCGTGATTGGGTCATCAATTGCCGGCTCCACCAATCACTGTTGAGGCCTCCCTTTAAGAACCAAGGACATCCTGGGAGAAGGCGCGGCTGTTTCCTTTTGTTTAGACAGCTTGCCACTTTGTTAGGTGTTTCACTGCTGTTTGTTTGCTCTGATAGCTCTGTTAACCCTTGTTAGCTTTGATAGCTCGTGTTACACTCGTTTTTTCCCTGTGAGGGATCTTTGAATCTCTGTTAGAGATTTGTAGTTTGTTTTGCGTACCCTGTTCTGAAAGTCTATTTTTGTTTGGTTAAGTTTTTGGTTTACAACTGATTGTTTGTGTAATTTGTTTTGTTTAGTACTTTTCTGTTGTAAGTCCCTACATTTTGACTATTGTTAATTTTTACCCTCTTTATTTTGTTAAACCTAACAATAAACCTCTAAATTGTTAAAACCTTACCACCTAGGTTTTTTTTAATGTTACTTCCCTTTCCCCTGGCCGGGTCGTAACAGTATCTTTCCTCTGTGCTCATTCGAAGGTTGTTTAAAAGTTTCTGAAAAATGCTGCTGGGTCTCAACAGGTTGAATGCAGAGCATTTTTTCTCCAGATAAAACGATTAAAATCCTTCAACAGATTAACTCTTTTGGGTAACTTCCAGAAACGACAATAAAAAACATCTAAAACTAAAGTTTAAAGCACCTCCATATTTGCTGAGTTCTCTGGTAATGGTGTTTAAAATCCCTAAAACAAGCAGATTTGTTCTTTTTAAGCAGCGTGATTTTAGAAAAAGAATCTGGCCTCTAATTTGACAACATTCATTTAGAGTAGAAAAAAAAAACATTCCATTGATACTATTTAGTACAAACTTTCTTGCCTATAGCACCACACAGTGTTCACCCACAAAATGTTACAAGCTAAAAGTATGTAGGTAGAGGGATCTTTGATAATTCTTCGTTGCACACCCTTTGTAGTTCACCCAGAGTCCAAACTCTCCTTTTATGCTCTCAGCTCACCCTGCAAGTTTTCAGTGGGATTTATGCCTGAGGACTGACATGGCTATGGAGGAATGTTGAATTTGCATTTGATGAACCATTTCTGTGTTGGTTTGGCCATATGTTTGGAGCCTCCTAATCACCCTTTTTAATTTAATTTTCAGGATTATTTTATTACATTTGTATATAAGACAGATTTATATTTTAACAAGGTTTCAAGGGCTTTGGAAGGAGAAACAGACCCCCAGTATCAAACATCCTTTAATATCACAGTAGACATGAGGTGCTTTTCCACACTTTCGCCTTCTGTTAACACCAAGACTCACCAGGAGCGATTGTTGCTAAAAGCCCGACTGTTTGCCACCTGATCAAAGCGCTCAGTTCCAAAGCAAAATCCAAACAGAGTTTAGAAAGCTTCAAGTGCTTACGTTTGTGATGGTAGGACAGGATGGGGGTGGGGGGTATAGCTTTTTTCTGACATACCCCAAAGCCATTTGTTGAACTTCTCTTATTATCCTCTCAACTTTAACTGTTAGACTAAATCAGTCACAATAGTTCCAGTTGTTTATACTTTTCAATCATTGCTCTGACTGTAGATATTTTTATAAGCAGCTATTTTCTTCTAGTCACTTTCTTATTCATGGAGATCAAAATATACAGTATGCAGCAGTTGAAAGACTTGTTCTATTATACTTTACATTTCAAATAGTGGGTAACAGAACTGGGTCTCTGCATCATTTATAAGGAAGTCATAGAGAAGAAAATGACTCAATTGAATTTATGTGACATTACTCTGAGGATGACTACATTGTGGGTGGAAGAGCATCCAAGCTTCAAAGAAGAACTCTGAAGATCATCAGAAATCCTGCATTGTTCAATTCATATTCTGGCTCTTAATTAAGACTTCTGCAACAAACCAATATGACTATATATTGGTTTGGTAAGGTAACCCAACCAGTCCTTACCTGACATGGCGAGGTAGTTGATGTCATGTCCAGCTGCAGAAGCGTAACACCCACTCTGGCCATATCCCGTCAACCGGGCGTAGATCAGACGAGGATTTTCTGAAAGTAACTCACTTGGACCAAGGCCCAGTTTTTCCATAACACCTTAAAATGAGAAGAATAACAATTATTCATCGTTGGCTTCCTTACTGTGTTAGATTAAGCTCAATGGTTTTAAGACAAATTAGTAGTCACTTAAAAGTGTCCCCCCCCCCATCTTTTTACAGATTCAGTTCTGACCTTTGCGATAGGGCTCGAGGACAACATCCGACTGAACGCAGAGCCGCCTGAGCAAAGCCACGCCCTCTGGCGTTTTCAGGTTGAGGGCAACGGACTGTTTGCCGCGACCTTGAGTGTCCACAGTTGAGAAAACCTTGGTGCGGTCCACACGGATCACCTTGGCTCCAAAGTCTGCCAGGATCATGCCACAGAACGGTGCAGGGGCCAGACCCGCCAACTCGATGACTTTCACTCCCAGCAGTGCCATGGGTTTATGACTGCCAAGCTTATCTAAACATGCAGATCTCAATTCATGTAAGATAATGCACGGGTTATTTTAGAATTAAAAACATGTCACAAGCAAGACACTTGTGAGCGTTTTTCTCACTAAGCCCATCATTATGTTCTCCTGTTTCCAAATAATGTAATTCAGGCTGTTTTTCAAAACGATTCAACAGGTACTTGGACAAAGAAACTAACTGACTCACTGAAAAATAGCCTAATTATGCAGAATGTTCTGGTGAGCATTCAACGGCACGATTTTGCCTTTCTCCTGAAATTACATGTTGATCTCATTAAATTCAGATTCAGAGCCTTTTGCCATTGCAGCAAAATACATTATCTGACACTGCGTAACGCAGTCTTTTATGGTTAGTTGAAAATTATTGCATTTTTCTCTGCATTTCATCTATCAGTCAAATTTTGACAGCTCTGTACCACACTGACTAAGGCAGCATGGTACTGAGTCGCAAAAAAACAAACAAAATAATTTGCTTTCTTTAACACAACTGTGTTTGCATATTGTCCAAAACCCCCCCGAATATATTTACTTTGGTTTACTTATCCAATTACTGCAACTGTTCCACAGTTTAGGACTCTTTGCAACACAAGTTAGTATGTACAGCCCAGGATCGAGCAGGATCCTGTCCAGGAAAACTAGAAACCTTGCAGCAAAATAAGCACAAAAAACAACAACTGATTTGGTGATTATACCAATTTGTGAATACTTGAACTATTTTCAGTACAATGCAGGTACCATCCACTACTCAATGTTTCATACTGCTTTGACAGCTACTTTTCATTAAGCCCATATTTCTATATTGGAAATCTCTCTTCAATGAATCTATAATCTTAAGCATCATGTTTTCATTATATTAAAACTTTTTAAACAATTAATCTAGTGTGTTTTACTTAATTAAGTTACTGAAAGAAATTTGCTTTGTTAAATATTCTAGTTTTTATTTATGACTGCAAAGACAAATCTACTTCATCACAGTGCTTATTTCCCTGTTTCCAGACGGATCTATTGAAACAGGATCTAGTAAATAATAAGCATCTCAAGTAAATAGGAGCTGTAATTTAAGCACAATTGCTTATTTACCTATAAAATAGCTACTAAGAAAAATAAACTGAGGTGAAATGACAATGTTGGAACAACAGGTGGGTATGACAAGGAGTTATGGCTTCTCAAAGGCAAGATAACCCGCATACGTGCAACAAAGTAAAATATAACGTAAGTGAAACAGTAGCTTTTATGTTACAATACCAAAACAAGACATATATTTGCAGAATCTATTCATGCATGTGAACAAACATGCAAGTAACGTGTTTGAATAAAAGTTTATCAGCTCACCTCAGTCAGCTCAGAACTCCGAGGACAAACAGCTGGAGACTCGGCTCAAAATGAGCGGTTCCTTTATCTTTAGACTGAAGTTAGTCACACACAACAGATGGGTCACTGGCTAATGGGTTGACCTTAAATTCAAGTAAACTACGAGGCATACAAAACAGACAGTGTAGCCTATATAGTTCAGCAGGCATTCAATAATAATTCCAGATAGACATGCGTGGTTTAAGCATAAACTCCAGCCTCCGTGACTCCGTGACCGCTTCTGCGGTGTTGCTCAAAGATATGACGGGATGGAAGACTGGCGGAGGACGCAGGAGTTCACCCTGTCTTATGCGGGGAACGCTAACTCCTCCTGGTAGGGCAACTTTCAGGTTTCGCTGCGGTGCAAAGGTAACGAGATTCAAGAATAAACTTCCTGGTGGCGTCTGACGTCATCGCGTTGTTTTGCGATGGTCGTCTGGGAAACGACGTTTTTTTTGTGTCCATTAAGTTGGACTGACTTATTTTGTTTAATCTATTCATAATTCATTAATTTTGATAAAACCAGGCATCATTATGAAGAAACTTGCTATGTTCTTTTACACAATTAAAACATGAAAAGTGTAGCTTTATCTTTATGTAGTTCTCCAGTAGAAGCTTATTTTCCTGCAAATGCACTTGCCGCCGACAGACTTTGTCACAACATGGTGTGAAAGCTGTGATGTTTTGAAAATCTTTTTGGTTAAAGCTTTGCACACCTAGAGCCTAGAATTATTACCCATTCTTCCTCAGAAACTATCTCGAGCTCAGTCAGATTGGATGTAAAGAATCTGTACAGCAGTTCTCAAGTCACAGATTGTCTTTGCCATGTAGGTGTTTGGTCTTTCTCCTGCTGGAAAGGGAACCTCCATCCAACCCTTTTGCTTCTACAGAGATGCTTTCTTTCAAGTTTGCTTTGCATTTCAATCCATCTTCTCATTCATTCTGACCCATCTTTCTTGTTCTGCTGAAAATGACTCTTACCCACAGCATGATGATGTTGAGGAAGGTAATTTTCACGGTGGTGAGTGTTTGTTTGGTGTAGTGTTAGTTTTGCTCCATATATTGTGCATGTTGCCTAGAAAGTTCAGATTTGGCTTCATCTGTCTAGAGCAACTTCTTCTAATGTTTGATGCCCCCAACATAATTTGTGGGTTAAGGTTTCCTTTCAAAATTTGCTTTGTAAAGGACAGATTTCTGGATCACATAACTAAATATTCTTAATGGAAAATGGAAATAATTTTCCATTTTCACAAATGCATCACAATTGCAATTGTGATGCAATTGTCACTTTAAAGTTGCAACTTTGCCACATCTTTACCCCTGACCTTTCTGATTTGTCCCTTGTTCTTGATGGTGCTGTTTGTTCAGTAATAATGACAAATCCCTGAGGCCTCAGATTCAGAGACTCAGTCAACATCAGAGAGGATAAGAGCTAGTCGCATCATAGAAATAGGATTACAAAATCAGCAAGACAGACAGCAAGCAGTTGGAGATCATTTACGTCAACATTCACATCAGAATCCTCACATACGTTCAATAGAGTGCAGCTAAAGGGCTGACAGGCTTTATCACAACATGAGGACCAAAACAGACCATGTTGTTAAAGGAAGGCACGGATCTTCTCTGACACCTACCAAACAAGACATTTACTTTGAAATGGGTGTTGCAAAGTTTAGGTCATTGTCTTTTAGTTTTTTACTTTGCAATGTTGAAGGGCTCAGAGACAATGCAATCATGTTTTGGATGTCATAGGCCTGAATCTGAACTATGGCTGGCTTGATACAGGTCAATCTTTCAATTAGGAAAGATCTTTTAAAGGACCAATGGCTGCTTGTTTTTCTTTTCCCTGAAGAAGGAATATAATTAGAGAGCTCACTTGTTATGCCAGCCGACCTTAACTCCAATGAACCAAGATTAATTTAATGGGGACTGCAAAAGCAAGTAAACTGAGGAAGAAACTCATTTTAGGACCACTGGTCAACTGCGGAGTGGATTCTGATATAAACTTTAAGTTTTAACAACACAGTCCTTTATGGCCTGTCTGACAATGAAAACTGAATCAGCAAAAAATAGATTGGTGGCAGAAAATTCACTAAGGATTTCATCAAAAAGCTAGCAGAAAGAAATTCTGCTTGAAGAAAGTCCTTGTTCTCTGTCCAGCCAATTTAATGATTCAGCTGGAGGTACTTAACTAGTGCTCGTTCTCTGTTACACAGCCACAATCTAAATATGGTTGGAGAACTGCTGTGGATCTGAGAGCAGGGAAACAAAACTGCCAGTATGATTTGGCCCAATGATGCATTGAGTTTATGTAAGGACTCCTTCTGCCATCAGAAAATTGCTCATGTAGGTGTGAACAATTTTACCTATAACACCCTAAGAATAGGTCATGGCAGCGTCTAGCGGAAGAAACCGCAACCCACAATGACTGCAACAAATACTTATGGTATTCTAGTGTTACTTGAGATGCCAAAGTAGTTTCACACTGTGACAAAAACTTGTGGCATGTGCTTTCAGTGCCTGAGGCATTTCTATCCTCACAGGCTTTGCTTGTGATCAATAATTTTGATTTTGCACCTTGTTAATTTTTTAGTGCTGCCTCAAATTCTTGCTACATGTGCATGCCAATTTTTTCAACTTTTTCTGTAAGTAAGAAAACTGCTGAAACGTATTATTTTCATCCTTCACAATTAGGTACAAATGAAAAAGAAATACACTGAAGTTTACGGTTCTAATTTGACAAAGCTTATTAATGAAGTTCAAATGGGATTTAAAATATTTGCAAAATACTGTGTTGTTTCAGTGTTTTCAACAGGTATTGTTATAAAACCTAATCTCCTTGTCATTTAGTATCATAAGTTCAATAGCCAGGCAGATTACATTTTGAACAGCTGCTCTGCAGAAGAAATAATATATCCTTTCCGAGAGTATCCTTCAGGGTTTTAGGTGATTTCTGCTTCTTATTTTAAGAAATGTAGGGCAATAGGAAAGCCTTTTTGCAGAAATTTTCCTGCTAGCAAGTTCAAAGTCAAATCAAAAGCAGCCTTGCCATGAAAAGGCTGCATAGGCATTCTTAATTGAGTAGAAAATACTCTCAGCAACAAAAGAAAGTTCATCACGGTGTGACAAAAGGAACATGACAGAGACGCTCTTCAAAGGAACAGACTTTTGAGCTCATTTCTTCAGGTCATCAGCTTGAGAATTGTTGCTGCTGTGCTTTTACCAACTAACGTGTTAATGACGTCACTAATTTAATGCTTGGCATATGGATGTGCCATTTCACTTTTTCACTCAGCAGTTGAAGATGTTATTAAATTATAAGTATTTGTACAGCAATTGTGGATTATTCCTCCTGTCTGAACTGGTGTAACTGAATCTGACTTCTAGACCATTTTGTTCAAACTCACCTTAACTTCCTGACTGTTGTTGTTGTTGTTGTTGTTGTTGTTGTTGTTGTTTCAATATTTCCATGTAATGTTTTGTTGCTCATAGTACCATCTGTTTTGTATCACAATCTAACTGGGCTTTCCTGTGGCTTTTTTGTTTTTGTCAAAGTAAAGAAAACAGCCTAATTTTTTTTTAACTTTTATTCATTTGAAACACAGATCAAACATGACTCATAGTTATAAGGAGAAAAAAAGTCTATTAGGGCCTATTAATTCGTCTCTCTTATTGCTGTTTATGCACTTGAATAAAGTAAATGTTTCATTTTGCTGAATGTTAAGTGTTTTCAAAATGACCATTTTCAAATGTAATTGTATAAATATACCCTTTTCAATTATTTTTCTTTAATTACAATTTAGAAAATTCAAGGATGTGCTTGACAAATTATCTTCTGCAAGTTTAATAATTCCTGACACTGGATGTTTTTTTCATATTAGACATTCCCTTTAAGTTCAATTTAGAGCTGATTGAAAAATTTGTCATGTTTATCTTACAGTGTTATTCCAAGTAGTCACACAGTACACCTAAAAATGATAAAAAAAAATTATTAAAAACTTTAATCAGAAACTTTTAAGTAGCTTGTGTAAAACTAAAAACATAAATAAAACTTACAATTCAACCCCAAATTGATTCACTAACTTTTTTGCTGCAAATTTAAAATACCTTCAGGCTTTAAAAACTGCTGGCAGATTTTTTTAGTTGCAGTCGGTCGCTTGATCCCATGAACCAGAAAGGAAGCTACTGAATAAGTCCAAAAATCTACATGAATCCAACACATTTCGAACACTGAGAGATTATGAATAGTTTCTGCCAAGTTACTGTGTCTTTTCCTGTTAAAATCACAATCATCAGTGGGAATAATGAAGATTTTACCTGATAGACTAAAGTGATTTATTGTTACAAAAGAATAACAATAGCAGAATAAAAAAAAGAAGAAATGTATCTTGCAAAATTTTACACAAACCTATAAATCTGTTGCATATGGTGTGGATTATAATTATGTCTCCTTTACTCTGGTATACTCTAAAAGAAATGTCTCTAATTTACAGTAAAATACTGGCAGCTGTGGTTACGAGAATTTTATCGTATTTATACAGTGTAGATCAAATTAAAATCTGGTTCAAGCTTTTGCCTTCATAGGTCATGGAGTCTTCCTGTGTGTCATTTTTTGACAGTATAAATGTAGCTGTTCTATGAAGGCCTCGGATGTTTGTTGAAGAGCATCAGAAAACAAACAGCATCACAAAGTTCAAAGATAAAGTTGTGAAGAAGTTTTAGGCAAAGTTAGGTTATGAACCAATATCCCCAACTTTAAAAAAATCCCCAGTAAACCTTATCAATTTGAATAGCTTCTATATTAAACATATAAAAAAAAGCTACATCTGTTTTGTTCTAACTTAAAGTTTTTGAGCTAAATAAATTGGATTGTTTTATTTTTGCTTTTCTGTGCTTGTATATTCTTCAGACATAGCTGAAATTTTGCTCCCAGAAATGTAGACAACTACAGTGCAGCAGAGTAGCAGAAATCCTCAACAATATGACAACCTTGAATTGAAATGTCACCTTGTGCCAGCAGATGTGGACTGATGGTTTATGTACGATTTCAGTGGCTCGGTTTGCAAAGGTCACCTTACCTTGACTGTCAGATTTTGTGCAAACCCAGATGTGAGATTTTTATTTATTTATTTATTTATTTATTTATTTATTTATTTATTTATTTATTTATTTATTTATTTATTTATTATTTGTGCAACATTTTCTACCAGAAAGAAGAGAGATGCAAGAGACAAGGTAAAAGAGGCGTCTTCATTTCTGGGATAATCTTGATTTGTAAAGGCAATGTAATTTAGACTCATTCAGCTCATACATAAGACATAATTACAGCTTTCAACTGAACTTTTTCATATTCGTCACCGTGTTCACACCTCACAGAGCTGCTCAGCAAAGCACTGCCATCTGCTACATGAAAAAGCAGTTTGA